TCCATCACCCAGCAAGGTCGGAGAGACGGAGAAGCGGGATCAAGCAACTTCTCCATCCACAGCCGATCCATTCCTGCCCATGACATTGCACCATGGTGCCCAGTGTGCGCAGCAGTCGCACCGACTACGACGCATCGTCTTCACAACCTACGCCCTTGTTCTCAATCACTCCTACACACTACCACATTATTCAACCCAGTCGGCCTTGTGGGAGGCAAAGCTCGGTCGGGCTAATACATTTGTGTGAGTTTGGCACTCTTCGTCACTCTTCTTTGAGCTGGCTCATGGCGGAGGCAACGTCCCCCTGAAAAGGAATGGAATCGTACACTAGGTGGAAGACATTGGGTGAAGATCAGGCATAGGATATCGGCATGTGCATCTCACAGGTTTATTTCCCTTTCCAGACCGGCACTGTACGTGGGCGAGGCAGACTCGCCACCAATCTACGCCGTTCACACGCTAGCCGAGGTGGCACTGAAGCCGCGTCACGTGCACCGAGTGGCAGAGCACCTGCGACTAGCCTACGAGAGCATGCGGGACGACAGTGCTGTCCTCGATCTCAGTCGTCTGGTGATGCCGAAGACAGAAGTGGGGGGATTTTGGCCCAAAAGCCTCATTGGACTCTACTACCTCTCGCCCGACTCACCACAGATTAACCCCATCTGGTCGCCGCCGTCCTGCCCACCACATCACCTCTTCCAGCTGACCGACCAGTCACACAGGTGTGTCCATTCTCCTCCTTGCTAGCGTCCTTTCCGTATCAACCATGTTCTTTCTGCTTCCCGTAGTATGGGTGATCAGAATCATATTCCTTGTAACCAACGTTGGGCAGATACCTACGTTTAATCGTCGGGCGCATCTTTTCAAGTTGTTGTGCATTTTTGGTGTCTGAAGGTGGGTGAGACACAAGCACCTTTATTGTGGTTGACACAACAGGTCCTGCGGACTGGTGGCACGGGCGACAAGACGGGAGTCATTGAGGAATATTCGATTACTATTGGAGAAGTTGTGGGGTACTCGAGTTGGGGAGGCAGTTTTGTTAAAAATGTTGTAATGCTAGCATGAGGAAAGGGTGCTAAGCACTGGAAGGTTGGGTGGCTGTCCTCCCTCCCCCTCATTTCCCCTCCCATCCAATCTAATTCATGCCAACGTGAAGTGCAAGTCTTCCTGTGCGTGAGAGTAGGGGTGATGCAAGGTGTGACGTCTTGTGTTGTGTTGCCTCGTGGTGATGGAAGTGGCACCCACCTCACACTGCCTCGCTACTCTTGCCTATTTCTTGCAAGGAAGTGCTTTGTCTTCCATGCACTCGTTTACTGTCTTATGGAAGCGTGCACATCGAGTAGACAAGTGTCGGTGGTGACTGCTTGGCCTGTAGTAAGTGGACACTTCGCAGTGGGCGACTGCGTGTGGGAGTCTACCACACACCCACCGACACACAAAGTCGGCGAAATAGCCTGAGTGTGGAGTGACGCGTGTCAGGGGAACGTGAGGTGTGCATTGGGTTGGTGGATTGTTTCGAGGCTAACCGAGGGTGTGGTTGTTGGCTTAATGGACGTTGGAATAACAGACAGCCCTTCCTTGTCTCGTTCCACTTCAGGCTGTCATGGCGCCTTTGAATAAAGCACTGGAAGGAAGTGATAGGTGAATGGCATGTCTTGCAAGTCTGTTGTCCGTCATTGTTGTTGGTGCGTGACACGTAGACGAGGTCCGTTCGCTTAGCTTCCGAGGTCCCACGACTCACCCTTCTCGGTTACTGTAGGTGTAAAACACTTGTTTTCCTCACCATTCGAGTTGCACATGTGTGAGGGCTGTCCTCGGCACGTAGATCTCGACTGCTTCGAAGGTGTCAACTGCCACACGTATCCCTCTATTCTTCATGGCCAAGATCAAAGGGCCCTCCTAAACGCGATGCAGCCGCCACCGCGGAGTGGTTCATCGTCAGAACCGAGTCGTTCAAGCATTCTGAGCATTGTGATTTACTACCGCACGTTTTCCAAGTGCCATATTACAAACGTGAGGCGGAGGAGGAGGAGGTTCTGCAGCTTTGGAAGCGAATTTATTGCATTTGATGATACGAGGGTGTGAAGCTGAGGGGAAGGTGGGGTGGAGAGTGCGGTAGGGAGCGACGTATTGTTGGACTTACACGCATCGTTACCGCGCAGTGCATGCATGCAAAAGGCTCTTCTGGGTTGCTCCTATTCTCGTTTCATTGCAAGTTGGATGGTGATGATGTGGAAATATGTTAGTGAAATCCAGTTTGCATGTAGAAAGCCCATCTCGTTCCACACCGTGTGAGTGTTCCATCAGTGCCAGTTCGAAGAAGGTAGGTGGGTACTCATTCAGCCCTCGTTACTGTGACCATCGAGACGGGTGCTTATTTGGATAAATTATTGTGTCCATCCACTAAAGTGATTTGAAGTGCTTCGTAGATAGACTCATTCACTCACCTTGTTGTAATGAGGAGGAGGAGGAGGAGGAGGAGGGGGTAGGGCCACGGCATTGCTTTGACCTCCTTGCACTGTTCCAGTGACTTACTTCACACTTGAATGAATGCCATTATTGCTGTCATTTGTCGATTTCAGCTCTGGTCGCCCACTCCTACCCATGCAGGTCACCAATATCCAGACGACAGGCTTTCCAAAGGAGGTGAAGACCGTTCTGTGGACCTTCTCCACCGTCATCGTGCTCATCATCACCGTTGCCGTTATCTTTGCCCTGCGAATGCGAAACCGTGTGCGTCGCTACCTGCACTATCAGGTGAGATGGGACAGACAGCGTGTCCGCGATAGCGTGTCCAGGGTAGCGTGTCCGAGATGGCAGGTAGGGATGGCTTGCAGACGTCAGTGTGCAGAGTAAATGTCGAAAACAACCAATGTGCCTCATAGCTTCGTACTTTCATTCTCCACTGTTTGTCGCCCTTGCCATGGCTCTTCACTGGTAGTCGATGCTTTCCTTTGGACGTACTTGAATGCTCCAAGGGCCCTTCAAAGCGCCGTCGTGTGCTTGTCAGTGACTCGCCTTGCATATCACGTCCTTAGTCAAGTAAAGGCATTGCAGAGGGTGATTCAATTTGTAGGTGGGACTCAGTGTTCTGAGGTGTCTCACAGTGATGCTTGAGACTAAGGGGGTGAATGAATGCATACACCACCTCATTTCCCCGCCCCTGCCCCCACCCCCTGCCCCCAAATGCATGCAAGTGTGGATGTTACGATCAGTGTTGTGTACTTGCTGCAGCCTCGTTTTGCGTTGGAATTTCTCTCCTCCGGGTTCGTGGTTATTGAAACGGTCACCATGGGGCGTGGTAACACCGTCCAGTGGGATATGAAAGGAGATCGTACCCCCACGAGTACCTCTTAGCTCCATGCAATCTCTTGCGCGAACTGTATGATGGCTGAATGTTGAAACGTAGGATCCATTTTATTACAGCGAATACGATTTTAGAGAGTTCAGCTGTCCTCACATTTCAAGGATGTAATCCGTCGGAGGTGTTTTCACTTTCTCGTACCAGATTTTATGCATTCTCCTGTTTCACAGAGCGGAAAAGTTTATTCACTTGTCTAGCTACTTAGCTTGAACAAATTCCCCTTCTTAGTTGCTACTGATGGAAAACAATTGTTTTGTCACCACACGAGCATTCTTAGACCAAAAAAGACGATACTTATGGCATCATTAAATAAATATTGCATAAAAAAGGAGTACATGAAGAAGTGAGGGACAAAAAAGGCTACAAATTCTTCGTTCTCACACTGCTGGGAACAGTTTTGCGCTTGCGCATCCTCTTCTTCGTCTTCTGGAGGACAAAACCTTCTGTTTCATCGTTTTCCTCGTTTCCCTCAATTGGGTTGACCATCTCACCGCTCGCCGCAATCAATGTGACACCCAGGACTGCTGCCGGAGCTTCACTGACGGCCACGCTAGCAGCACCGTTATTGGTGCTTTCTTCGGAGATGGTCCGTTTCGAAGGTATATGCCACGGATTGGTTAGGGTTCTCGCTTTAGACCAGACCCTGGGTTTGGCTTGCAATGGCGAATCGTGCTCGGAGGTCTGTACCTACACCCGTAAGAGAATTTTTGAATAAATAAGTGGAGTTTCATCCCTCAGCCCTAGCGCTTCTAATAGAGGTCGGAGATCTTAGAGTTCACGTTTACGTCTATCAGAAGCATTTCGATCTCTGTTTGAAGGAGAAACTTTTGCTGTGAGAAGAAATGGCAACGGTGGGGGATCAGCTACACTCCTAACTGTACACCTGCCTGAAGTACCACGCAGAAACTCCAACAATGAATTGAAGAACCCGGAGGAATGCAGTCTTGTCCTTGAAATCGTTCAATACAAACCAGTGCTAGAAACACGGCTCCACAAAAGTGGTTTCCTATAAGTCGTGTTATCAATGAAAATCTAAGAGAACGCAAGCTTCCTTTCCACACTGCTGCTGTAGAGAAAGGTATCTTATCCCACCTCTAACACGCAAATAATCAGGTAGAACAAGATTGATGGAGTAAAGTACATTAATGGAGGTAATTCAAAAGCTTTTTGCTGTCGTACCTTTATGCCAGCGATGTTGTTATTATTGATCTCTTCGCAACCGTTGACCGTCGATTCCAACGATGGAAGCGCCACTTGTGGACTAACTTTGTGATCCGCTGGGCGTGGGGAACCATGCTTCGAGATCTGGAAATTAATAATTACTATCAGTTCACCAAAAAGTGAAGAGAGCAAGGACTACTGCCCCAGCTTAAACGATCAAGCGGTCATCAAACATCAACTGTTGGAATTTGTGTCAAGAGGTTGGCTTGTCGTGCGCCCTCAAACATAAGCGAAGTGGAGCAGGAGTCAAGAAAGCAGAACACTTTTAATAAGTAAAATATTCAGAGCACAATAATTCCAAATACAATTCTAACTTAACCGGTTATCTAAGGAAGAGATATGGGCAGTTGCGCATAAGGAAGCGGGACATTAGGAAACAGAACGCCAACAGAGCCAAACTGAAATTATAATAGAGAGAATGGAGGCAGCGAAAAAGTAGTGAATCGTAGCCAGAAAATAGAGAGACAGAGACACTCACCGACAACCTCGCCCACATCGCCGGAGTAGAGGGATGGCAGTGCTCACTGATGAAGCGCTCAGCGGCATCTGCAGTGAGTGGAGCGGGCAGGAAGCGGTGAAAGTGATTCACCTCCGCGAGGTGGACTCGAGCCAGGCAGTAGGTGAGAGGAAGGAGGCTGGGGAATCGCGAGTTCCAATGCTCCGCCATCGCCGTGTCGCTTGAGCCCAGTACATCGCGCACCTTATTACGAAGCGACCAAATGTGGTTCCGTTTGTTCCGAATCGCCCGCAATAGCTGTGTTAGCGATTTGTCCTGCGGTTAAATAGAGTTAAATGGAACCTTTGGATTATGGAGTGGTCGAGACAGGTCTGCCTATCCTTCCTGTGTGCCTAATTTATTGCCGACTCGTATGTCCACTTGGTTTTCCACCGGTCTGCCCGTCCATCCAATTTACAGAACCGTACTAAATCGCTTAGTATAATTTCATATTCCTCTTTAAAATCAGTTTTTCCCATTAGAAGAAAACATTCTAGGCACAGGAAATTAGCCTCCTCCTTAATGTTGAAACGCACTAGCATTACAACATTTATTATACAAAAACGAATGAGGAGACTCAGATTCAACTGCGCACGCACAGACACACGAATGGAGAAGTTGGGCTCTCGATCATCCGATGAATGTGACCCAACGGGGGATGCAGTAGTGCCCTGAGGGTGCGGAAATTCACGGATAAGCGGAGTTCTTATTGAGACCCAATCCATTTGCAATCACAATTTCTCCAGAGATCTTCGAAACACCGTACTGATTAGGTACCCATTTGCACCCACACTACTACGTAAGTAGTTGAAAAGACTGTAGCTAGTTGATTATTTTGTAATGGTAAATGATTCCTTAAATCCGATGCAAAAAAGGTAAACAACTATTTTGCAAGTATTCACAGCGAATTTATGCTGCAACGGGCATGGCCGATGATCTGTACAGTGTGGTGACACGCGATTGGCTGGAAGCAAATAGCCAATAGGCGACATCGTCTGTACTCCAGCTTTACGTTAACTAGAGGGAATGTAATCAGCTACCCTTTAAATGGCATTTAAGTGCTATAGTAGCATAGAATTGGTCCTGATTAGGGGTTAAATTCCAGAACCAAGCATTTATCAACAGTCTTAGTGTCACATACTAAACATTTCTCCTTCTGCAAGGCGGGCTTTGGAAACCGACCCAGAGAATGTTCGACGTATTGCTGTATACAAAGTGATCTCTATTAAAGTATTTAAATAAAAGCTGAGGCCTTATGGGTTTGCCACTTGTAACTCTGTAAATGATAGAAGAATGAACTTTAGGTAGTCACGACATAATCCAGGCTTTACGACAATCCTGGAATCGAGTACGCAAACAGCTCTAACTGTGTACCTTATTATTTTTTTCCCCTTAGAGTAGATGGAAAAAAGTTCAATTGTGTTCTCCATGCATATTTAACTGAACTTATTGATATCGCATAGGTGTGTTCGATTAACCCGGGCGAATGCCCACTTATGGGCATTCATTCCACTATTCCCACTGTTGATACAGGTTGAGCGCCACGTGTAGAAGGTAGTAATCAGGTCAAGGTTACCTTGTCTTGGTTCAATCACAGTCCTCACATGAGCCCAAGGCCGCTTGGTGGGAAAAAAGCCGAGGAGTAATCAATCAGCCCTTCACACCGCCATTGATATTGGAGGAGGATACAACGCTACTTCCCTCCTCTTCAAGTCCACTCTATCCTGACGTACAAATCTTACCACGATGATACAAGGTATGAAGCATTGAAATGCATTGTCATATAAGAATACCGCTTTCTTCCTAGTGGTCCAGTAGCCCTGCCAGTTTCCGACACAGTCTTTCTTCCACATATTTGGGGTGCATGATGAACAACTCCGTCTGAAGTCTGTTACATATAGTGCGTCTTGTTTGGGGGCAACTAGTGTCACCCTCGCACGCACAACTTTGAAGTAGGTGTGTGGGTGGCATGCAATTGTCTCATCATCACTCATGCTAATCATTTGTGAGGGCTGATCTTGACACCTTGGTCTCCAGTTAAAAGGATATTCCCACACCCGAGACGGTATCCACCTCTGGAGTGACTCATCGCCAGAAGAAATTAGTTTAAACCACTTCTAGATGTTCGAAATTGTGGAGAGAAAAAGGGATGACCACTGAGAGACTGAAGCATGCATCTAAATACTCGCATGCACGAGCTACACCAAAACGACAAGAATTAGGCTTGACCTGACGGTAGTCGATGCAGCTGCCGAGGGCTAGTCCACACACCGCTAAACAAGATGACGAATAACCAGGATTGTTGCTTACGTGGAACGGTGTGTAGCATTGAATGGAACGCACAGCCGCAGTAAGGCATTTAAAAGATGTAAACACTTCAAAGATCGCCCCACGTCTGTACGTGACAGCCTCGTCAGTCATCGCTGTGTACATTCAGCGCACGGAGCGTCTGCCAACTCACAGGCGGTTGATTAAAGCGTAACTGACGGTGAAATCCTCCACGGGACGAGGCTTTTTGTGGCAACAGTGAACAAAAATTTGGCGTGGGCAGGGTGCCAAGATGACGGTATGATGTATACTGTCCTAGAATGGATCAGGAGCAATGACTCATCTTTCTGTACCGAGGCATTCCAGATGTCAGATAAGTACTCGATTAAGTCCGTAAGTGTGGGCAGAGATGATCGAACTCGAACTGCCCTCGTGGTATAAAGGTAGGATCCAGGCTGACTCATAATGACGGAAAAAACGCCGCTTCTTTCAACAGCTGGATGTGTGAATAAAGAGAGGTACCTGATAGGTCCGGACAGAGCGTAGATCGTCAACCAGGACGGCGTCCAGATGGCCTAACCAGGAACTCGAGAAAACGCGCCCCCAGTGATCGTCGAGTGCAGTGGAGAGATGCTGGCGGACGCTATGAAAGACATCCACCGGCCCCGTCACCACGACCTCATTCCCTCCTCCTTCGCCTGGCCGTGTGCGCTCTGCCGAAAGGTGAAAGGAGCCTGAGCCAGAGGCAAATTTGAGTGGCTTTGACTCGTCCATGAAGTTGGAGATCTCCTGCGTGATGGAGGAGGAAGGGTGGAAGATTATCTCTTGTTTTCGATGTCGTTTCAAACTCGCATGCAGTTTTTTCAGCTGTAGGGAGGAGAGAGGCAAACTTACTGTATAGAAAGCCATAATGTCCTCAGCTGTCCAGAAGAGTGGTGACCCAGCCAATACCTCGATGGAACAGCGGTTAGAGGGGTCAGGGGTTAAGGCCTCCAGGATGAGCTGTTTCGCCAGGCAACCTAATAAAGGTAAAGCCGATTGCATATCGTTTGGGCTAATTAGCCATGACGTCCGGTTACTCTGTGGAAAACAAAACAACACAATCTTTTGAATCCTATCAAGAATATCCAGTGGTAACCGCCAGCCTTCCAACAAGCTAATCTTCTGCAAGTCACCTACTTCCAGATTCAAGTCTATATCGAATGTCATTTAATCGTGCCCACTGAAATATTGGCTCGGAAAAGTAAAAGAGAGGACATGAATACAGAAGGGGGTGCCTTAACCCCCCCACCACCACTCGCTTCCCCCCCTAAAGTAGTCCCGACACAGAACGGAAGGGAGAGGAAGGAATAAACGGACAGACACCCACTTCGCATCTTGTCTGGTTTCTCCTCATCCGCCCCACCGACCACCTCTACCACCACGCAAACACAGTTGTCAAGATCGTTCAGTCGTGGCGCTTGAAGATCATTGATGGCCTTCTGCATGCTTTGAAGACCTGCCAGTGAGGTGTAGACTTCGCGCAGGTGTCTTGGCCTTGCTGACACTGCCTCCTTAGTCCCTGATGAAGACACTGCCTCCGGAGGAGCGAAAAATGGGTGACTACCAAGGGAGAGGATGAAGTAAGCCACAAGACCGAACGCGAAGACGTCCACTGACTGGGTCTAGAAGTGGTGGAAGAGAGGATACAAGTCGATCTTCAAGTGGGACAATCTCTCTGCTATGCGATTGGCCGAACCACTACCACGAGGTGCTTTCACCTCACATACAAATATTTTTATCAATCATGATCGAAAAGTGTAGGGGATAGGTCAATTAAACCACACGACGTGATGAAAAGGATACTAAGGATTTTCTCAATTCACCATGCTCAAGAAGTATCGAAAATAAGACTATTTGGTGGCATGATTAACGTCGTCTCACCAAAGCTTCCTTCGATGAAGCACACATCTCTGGAGCCATCCAGCCGAGACTTCCGAAGGTAAAGGCACCACTGGCTCCAATCGTTGACCCTCCACCGTTTTCAGTGGTGGAGCTGGCGGGCGCCTCGACACAGATAGAATTGATGAAGAACCCATTCTCTAGAGGCAATGAAAGGCCAAAGTCGCCGAGAACCAGACGATTGACAGCTGATGTGCTGGTAGTAGTGGAGGAGGAGGGAGTAGGAGACGAAGAGGGGGTGGCCTCCAGGATAAAGATGTTGCTCGGCTTGATGTCCCGGTGAACTATGGGAGAGAGAGAAGGCATAGCTTATGGAATCTGGTACTCGTTGACAGGACTCCCTCAATCCAAATAAAATGAACCAGTTGTGGACGCTCTCCCTCGGATCAAAAACGATGAACGTCTAGACGGTTTTACTTGTTATCTACTCACAATCAAGAGAATATGCAATCCTTTCGATCTTGATGAAACGATTCTATGAAACAGCTATGTGATCTTTCAGAACTCTTTTATCGCCAGTCAGGTCATTCCACCGTGGATGAGTCTTTTTAATAACAGAGGGGCAAGACCTAGCAACACGTCTGTAGTAACTTACATCGGTGAATACGCATCTAGAGCTTTCTCCTTTTCGTTAAGTTCTGTTTGTTTTTTCAAGACAAAAGCTGCTTCTATTATTCGAACTGGTGTTCTGCTATCAGAAACCACTGTACTCTTGACTCAGTCACACTACCTCTCTTCTGCATTAGTCATTTCAACTGATCTGGTGATTTAGTTTTCATTGAAGGCGTAGAGTACGCTCAGTGTCTGACCCCACCATGACTCCAACAAAAATACATGTGAGAGCTATTAAAAGGGCGAAATTTCGGTGACAATAATAGGTTGTTCTTACTGGACTGAAGGTGAACTGTCATGGTGAGCTGAGGGAGAATATGCAAGTAAAGAGGCACCCTTTCACGACTTCAAGGTACACAACAAAGCCAACTGAGAAGTGGTGCTGTCCTCGTGAGAGTAACGAAGCGAATCATCACTCCACGTTTAAACGAACCGATGGCAGTGCGCATGATGAACGAGGGCGTAGGGTAACAATCGTTACCATGGCGTGTTTGTGCCAGTGCTTTCTATTGTAGCAAGTTTTCCGGTTTGTAAACTTCGGCTGCTTTGTCCAAAGCAGTGCGCACCTTCGGAATAATGTTGACGTCTCATTGCATGTTTAGGAGTGGGTGGAAATCATACCAACAAATAAGAGAGCGAGGAAATTGACCAATCGAGTAACAGGAGTCATCCCCAGGTCACAGGAGTGAGCTTTGGTACTTTACTACATTCATTTAACCACTGTACCGAAGGTTTGTAACCTTCGAAGAGAACCAATGCTCGGTAAGCCAGTAGCCAAGTCCATACCAGTCGAGCGCACTATCCGTCCATGCTTCAGGTTGCTTGCAATTCTACATCCTTTCCACGGTGGAATTCAGTTGCATATTAGATTAACCCCAGATTCTTAGACGGTCTCCATATAAAGATAATTCCAAAAGCAAAGGAAGAGTAACCTACCGATTGACTTGGAGTGCAGAAAGACCACGGCATTGAGGAGCTGACGAACGCACTCCACCGGCAGGAGACCGAATCGACTCAGTGGATTCCTTCCCTCAGACAAAGCAGCACCTTCCTCGGTGTCCAGGGCCTCCAGCAGGCTAGTCAAGCAACGTTGAAGCACGAGGTAGTGAAAATTTGGTGAACTGCCCTGAAGGCATAAATAGAGGTGGAGGATGACGAAAGAATGAGTTGAGAGGTGGCCTAATGGCATCTGCCTCAATTCTCAGGTTTTTACTGTAATGCATTCGCGACTTCAGCCGCTAGCGACTCAGCCCCACACCGACAGCACACGGTTTCAGCATGCCATTGCTGCTGCCAGTCTCACAGTCTTTTATAACTAACCTCCAGCGTGGAATCTTTAATGACCTCTTCAGGTAATGACAGCTCAGATGCTACCCAGTCTAGCCGCAAGTAGCGATCCTCGCTTGCGCAGTAAGGAATTAGTGGTATCATTTAAATGAGGAAGCCTTACCGTCCAAAAGCACCGAATGAGGTGTTCGTGGTGGTGATTCATGAGGATGCGGTGCTCGCGCAGCCAACTTTTCTCCAACTCAACGCGACGCAGAATCCGCTTCACTGCCACTGGCTGTGTCCCGTAGGTCCCTCTGAAGCAATATGTTTCCACTTTATGGAATTATATGCTCATTAGAAATACTCGCCAGACGAGCACCTCATGTACGACTTTTTATTAATATAAAATATGATCAGAGAGAGAAAGGAAACACACGTACTCAAAGACAATAGTTCCATTGGCACCAGAGCCAAGAACGCGTCGGAGGTTAAATCGTACCATCTCAGGATTGGTGCGTTCGCCCTCCGTAGTGTTGGCCGAGACCACGGGGTGTCCAGCCCAGCCCTCCCGGTCTGCGCAGTCGAAGGAGGGGTGCAGCAGTGGCGAGGCGTGGTCCCATGGAGTCTGTGTGCCATGCGCAAGAGTAGATTACGTAAAAGAGAGAAGTACAACTGCGTTATAAAGGCGCTGAGATACGGTGGCAGATGCAAGAATCCCATAAAATGCATCTGATTTGTAATTTCATCTGCGACACTGCAATCTCCATCACTGCTACCACCCCGTAATTTACAGAGGACACGGCCCAAGTAAACCTAGACGGGTTAATCCTCGATGAGTCTTTTCAGTCTTCCACGATTGGGATAAATGTAATAGTGACGCTCCAGTCCTTCCGCACTCATGCGACCCATCAGCAACATCAGGAGTAGCTCAAACGCTAAGCGCATAAAAGCGTTGACAAACCTACTTTCAAAAAGATTTGCTCGTGGCATTCTGTGTGGATACATTGTCGAAGGAAAGCATTACCTGTGAGGAAATTAACCCACACATCA